AGGAAGGGGTTGGAAGTGTGGAGACCCACAAATAAGGCACAAATCATATTTCCGTCATTAATACCTCGGTCCATCCTTGCGAGCCTCTCACTGCTGCAAGGGTCCAAGAGGTAAATACATTTCCAGTCTAACCGAATGAGCAAGATCCAGGAAGAAATGGTTTGTCCCCTCTCCAGATTTTTTTTTTGTCCTGGACTCTGGGGGGGGCACGACCCTTAGAAGCAATAGGCAAGCGTACAGAAGAGACAGGCCCACAGTGATACTCATCCATTTCCTCTTCTTCTCTTGTGCACAGTGGTGTGGCCCCACTTATGGGTCCACATGAATAAAAACATACAACCACAGGATAATCATGGGGTTCAGAACAGAAAGGGATTCTAGAAGGTGATCTCTAGGTGATCTCTATGGCCCAGTGAAGCAGATTGCCCCAGGGTTCAAACCCCAAATCTACCCTGTGTTCACCGTGTGACGTCAGGCAAGTCGCGCAACCTCTCTGTTCCTTAGTGTCCTCACCCACTGCAAAGGGAAATAACACCTTCCTTGTGGGGTTGCTGTGAGGATTAAGAAATATGCAAGTCCGTAGGTATTACTACTGTTAGAGACAGCAGTCTTAGAGCTTTGGGCCGTACTGATTCGCTTCTCATCTGCAAATACGTGGACTCCTCTGTCTACATAAAGAAGAGTTCTAAGAGGAGCCATAGCATTTAAGTTCCACAGACAGCTTTCTTGCATTGGGACCAGAGACAGGTTAGTCTGTGACAACTCTTCCCCCAACCACAAGGGGGGCCCGAGTCTCCTCCTCCAGATATGGGACCTTTCCTTCAAGTAGACTTCATTCATTCTTCTTTCGCCTTCTTCTTGGCCTCCATTTTTAATTCTCCTCTCTCTGTGTCTCTCAGCATTTGGCTCCCAGAAATTAGGAGAATAATCTAAACTCATCCCATTCTCCCCTTTCCCATTCATCTGGCCTAGGACCACCTCAGTCCTAGAAGCCCATCATGGGAAACACAAGGTCTAGATGGCTCCCCAGCCTGGCCACCTCTAGCAAGGGGGTTACAGCAGATGGATTCCTCTCTGTGGCTGATTATTTTCCATGGCCCTTGGCCATGTGACCTCGGAGCATGATCTTGTCAGTTCTCATAAACTGAGGAGGAGTGGCTGAGAGGAAATCAGAGAGGAAATCTCTGGGGGAAAAGGCAGGGGCTGTGGGAGGAAGGAGAGCAAGCCGGGATCCCAAAGGCCATGGGAGCCTCACCCTGCTTCTCTCCCACCTCTGAGCAGCTTTGATTTTACATGAAGGGAAGGAGGAGGAGGAGACAGTGCCTCAAGGAGGCAGGCTGGCTGCAGGCAGGCTACTCTTTTGAATAAGATCTGGAGTCTCAGCCCAAGAGGCCAGTTGTCCCCAAGACCTCCAACCCACAGAGACTGCCTGCATAGGCCATTCATGGAACCCCTGGTTACTGACACCCAATTCCTATTCTTAGGAGCCCTGATACATCATAATAAGATAAAGCAGAGAACAGCTGACACTCACACACATCCCCTCATCTATGGTTGGCTCTGGATGTCCTGTGGGAGGTCAAGTGATGAATACCCATAGGAGCGCTGAAGGAAGCCACTCCAGGCGCTTGATCCCAGGTTGATGGTGACAATGTTCTGGGGATGCTGTGTGGGGTATTTACTTCATGCCAAACACACAGATGAAAACCGAAAAAGATGTGCCAGCAAAATCTTCATGTTCTCCAATATCCTGAAACTGGGTGTCGTGTAAACAAAACCCTAAACTTCTCTGCCTGGTTTTTGTGTTTTTGTTTGTTTGTTTTTGTGTGTGTGTGTTTTTGTTTTTTTTTGTTTGTTTGTTTGTTTTGTCTTGTTTTTTTTTTTACTTTAAATTACCTTTAGATTTTGAAGTTGTGTGCATCTATAGCTTTGGGTCACAAGTTACCTTAAATTCCCTGACAAGTTAATACATTGTTAGAGAGGTTATTTCGTAGTAAAATATGCACATGTAAACAATCCCCTTAACGATGTATATGTTTTAATTACATTCTGGGCATTCACTTGATGAAATCCTAGGGAGAAGAGTATAGGTACGTACGTGTGCCCCTGAGTCTAGTGCATATATTTTTGCATACACAAGAACACGGGGCAAAGCATGCTATTTAAAGAGTCTGAACTCTATCTTTCAACAAAGTTTAGCTGCTTTCCTTTTGCAAATGCATTTAATTTTATCTGGAAACTTTTTGACGTTAGAAATAGAACAACTGTAGTTTCTCATTATGTTTGCTGCCAAAATCCATGCTTGGTTGCTCAACTAAAGACCTTATATTGCTAATTACTACCACATGCCCATATCCCAAGCGAAAGAAAACTTATTGATTCTGACAGCCCATTCTCTCAACACTGAATTCCAAATGAAAACTCAAATTTTGGCCAAACATAACATTTCATCAATCTTGTTCTACTGACTGGAAAACAACATCAAACAAAGGGTGCTAATGGCCCTTTATTACCGTTCCTTTCCCGAGCTTATATTTTCTGATGAAAGATCTAAGTGACCAAAGGGCTTCTTTAAACTACTTAGTAATTAGCTTTTGAACCAGGAAACAATGCGTAAAGTAAAGTGAGTGGTCCCAGTGTTGATGACAGGACCTACTCTCCGTCCTCAGGGTCGGGGGACATTGGAGACCCAAAGAGAACATTAAAAGCAAAGTGTGTATTTTCATAAAGGGAGAAGAAAAAATAGAGAAAGAGAGAAAAACCAGGCTAAAAGGCCGTGATAAAAGATGACAGAGATGGATCCAGAACAAAAGCCGCTGGAAGTCTGTGATCTGAAGTCATCAGCACTTGAGGGTTTGAGTGGAAGTGCCAAGGCAACAAAGATGACCAGATCAGACCCGGGGTGGGTGAGCAACTGCAGCTCTGAGGCCCTATCTGGGTCACCCACCGACAAAAGCCACCAGCCACCCAGCCCACCCGCAGTGGACTAGGGAGTCTAGAGGAAAAAGAAAATTTTTTACCTGGAGTGAGAGTCAAGAAATATTTTCAATATAGACTTCAGGGCAATTGACTTTATGTGCTTCTTCAGGGACAGTGATAAGGAAACCCCAGCTGAGCAAGTGGGGTGGGAGGCCATAAAGAGAGCCCAGGCTCTCAGAATGCCTTCTGCTTTATGGCAACCTGTTCACACCTTAAAGGCAAAATGGACAGAGGAGCTGTTTTCCTCTTGGCAATGGAATAAATGACCAGTGGGAATCTCTGGACTTATCTGGCCTTTTGGATCCAACCAATGGCCCAGAAATCAGAACAGCTTGGTTTTCATCTCATCCAGGGCTGTTAAGGTAATAGGAAGAGGAGGGCTCCATTTAGAGGGAAGGTGGAGAAATGTGCTGCCTCCACGGAAGAGACGCCAACTGGCCTCCTCTTGCCCACTGTCCTTTGTTCCTTTGAAAGGAAACTGGTGTCCTGTGGGTAGTTCAAGAAAATGAGTCCTTTTTTTTTTTTTTTCTACCTCCTCATTTTCTGAACGAAGGACTGGACACCTGAGCTCAGGATGCACCCGAAAGACCAACAGAAGATGAGGTTTGTTCTGTCCAACAGGACTGTCAGGCAAGGAGGAGGCGAGGGGGAAAGGGTAGTGCTATGGTTTTATCTTCTCTTAAAAAACAAAACAGCCTATTCAAGAGTTCATCTGAAAAATGTATTAGGGGAGGAGGACCCAGTTCTGTGATAGGAGCTTCTAGCACTGAGAAGGGGCCTGAGTGATGAAAATATTCTCATCTCAATCTGGATGGTAATTACTGGCTGTGTATGTAGGTACCAACAAACTCCTTAAGCTGTACATTAAGGCTATGAACCTGTTACTCTGTGGAAGTTAAAACAAACACAAAACGTCAGAAACAAAAACAACAAGGCTGAGGACCCAAGAAAAAGCATTTAAAAAAATAAAGAAAAGAAAAGAATGGTTGCCACCGGCCCTGCCTCCCCTGCAACATTCTCCTCCCGAGATGGTAGTCTGGCAGAGGACAGAGACAATAAGGCCCTGCTGTTCACATAGGAGTCAGACTTCTGGTTGATAACAAAGCCATCCATTGATACTGATATTGATAAAAATGATCTGAGCATGGAACGAAATAGTCCCCAAAAAGAAAGCACCGATGTTCAGAAAGCCAAACCCAAGACTCACCAGGAATAGCATGCAGTGCCCTGACACACCATAAATGGAATATATGTTGCCCAGAAGGAATCTCAACTGAGGAATGAGTCCCTTTGAGGACACGCTCGGTGCCTCCTGGATGAAGAGAACTGGTTTCCGGGTTGCCACAAGGCCCTGACTGTAGGCAAGGTGACCTTGCCCTTGCTCTCCCTAAGACTTCCCCACTGGAGGACAATCCCATGTCACAGCTGCACAGAATCCCCCATAGGGTGGCATTACAGTAGTCTGGGGGACCAGAATGTAATCCCTGAGCCAGATGATGTAAAGAATGAATGAACTTGGTTTACTGGGTAGGGATGAGAACACAACATACAGGCCCCATGATCTAGGGACCCCTTCCAGGAGAGATGCAGGGTGTCTCTCGGGAAGGTGGGGGGCGGGGAAAGCCACGAAGGGGCACAGGTCTGCGTGGTCCATCCTCGGGTGACAATTTCCTGTGGTAATTCTGACATTGAGCCCCACACAGAGCGTGGCCCTTGCCTCACAGAGGCTTCTGGGTGGGTAAGAGGGGTGAGGGGCGGGATTCAGGTGTCACTGCCAGACGGGCTCTTGAAAGTCACTCAACCACATCTTTTCTGATGCAACTGACTTACTTTCTGCCTCCATGTTTGTTAAAAGTCCCGCCGAATTTATTCCGATTCAGGATGAGAGCGGCAATTTCGGGCACGTAGCGGGCAAACATTGCCTACATGCATGAAACAAAGAAACAAGAGCCAAAAAAAAAAATGGCATGCAGAGAGGATTCGACCCCAGTGGAGGCAGCACAACCTCTTGGCATACTTACTTTCTTCCACTAACCGCACTATAGGAGCCCCCGTATTTCTTGCGGTTTCCTATTAATTCTATGATTTCAGGGACGTAGCTGGCAAACATGGCCTGAGGAGAAGACAGGAGACAGAAGAGAGACTGAAAAGACAGGCCAAAGAAAGGGGGTGACCTTTTCAGAAGTGGGGAGGGGTGCTAAGATTCGAAAACACAAAGGGGTTCGAACCGCCAAGGTGTATACTACTATGGGGGGAGATTATAAAAAATAAAAGCACAAAAAGGGCAAGCTCTTGAAAATACATGGGACAAAACAAACATCAGCCAACCTGGACAACGGAAAAAAAAAAAAAGAAAAAAATCACAGTTAAGAAAAATACAAAGGAAACAGGAATACATAAGTCGACATCTAGTGCTTCCTGTTGAAGGGAAATCAGTAAAGGGGGTGCATGCTGGTGAAACACACACACACAACTGCAAGAGAAGACCTTTCTTTCTGGTTAAAATTCAGAGGAGAATCACTGCCTTTGTGAGTGATGAAAGACAACCAACACCAAAAGATCAAAATAATATAAACTTTCTCCACTTAAAAAAAAAATCACTAAAAAGCACAAAAGGTGAATTTAGGAAATCACATGGGAGGAAAGAATAGCAAGGAGGAACACAAATCTGCCATGTTTTGTCCAACAAACATTGTGCTTGTGGCTGGATGAGTGGGTGTCCTTACCTACAGGGACCTCCCCGATGCCCAGGAAACGCTCGCATCAATGGACACACGCACATGTACATTTATATACATTTTCGAAATGTATATACGCCGTATGCATACAGAACAGAGAGATGTATATGCATCATATAAATGTATGCGCGGTGTACATATGTGAAAGCTGCGTGTGAAGTAGGATCCTAATCACTTTTACTGCACATGTGGCAAAAAAAAAAAAAAAAAATCTTAAAATGAGCTACTTTGAAAGACAAAATGCAGCAGCCGCCCATGGGTTGCCAGAAATCCCCCTCGAAAATTACATCATGACCGACTGTTATGATCTGCAAAGACCAGAAAAGCAAATAGCCAAACTTTCTGACTTACAAAGGGGGAGGAAATCTATCCCCGGGGTCACTGCATGGGGGGTGGGGGGGGGGAGTCGGTCAGCTGTGTACAAACCCACACTCAGCTCACATACCAATGTCCACCTGCATGAGACTAGGAGCCTTTCTGTCCTTTGTGGGGACCCTACTCTTCAGGGCAGGCCCCAGCCACAGTGTTTGTTGGAAGTTAGGGGAGGATCATGAAGGGTGTTGGGGGGGAAGCTCTTGAAACCGCAAACTGTCTACAGAGGATCCACAGCATCTATGGGGTCAGGTGACAGCAGCTGTCCTTGCGGAGTATCAGCTGCTGAATCACATTACTAAGGGGCAGACACTTCACGTAATAAGTGAGCATCACTTTCTTAAGATAATTAGGTTTCCTCCGGGTGGCAAGGCTGACCCTGACAAGGGCAGTGTGCCTGGGTCTCTGGGAAGCCAGTCTAACATACTGAAGAGATACGCACAAAAATCTCTTAGCCTGCGTTTGGGTCTCCTTAGCCTGATTGCAACTCTAGGGCCATATCCCCTGCTTGTAATGCAGAAACACAGAATCAAAATACAAAGCTTCAAAGAAATGGATAATAGAAAATATTAATGACCATAAAAATCAACATCGTAATAAAGAGTTTTTACCAGTCCCCCGAGGATGAAGAAGACCATGAAGAGGCGCCCAAGCGTGGTTTTTGCATAAACGTCCCCATAGCCAACGGTGGACATGGTGACCATGAGTAGATAGACACATTCCCAGTAGGTCAGAGCCTGGTTGTTTTGGAAATTTTCCCATGGGTCCCCTGAATTCTCCACCTAAAGCAAGGGGACAGGGAAGAGAAGAGATGACATATATACGTAGGGTAAACCCAGGACACAAGAGCTCAAGCAGGCTGGTGCCACCTGCACAGGCGCCTCAACACGAGCTGCCTGTTGCCCCCGGGTGAGTCCAGCCAGGACTCAGAGCCTCCCGGAGAAAGTGGGGAGGTAGTAGCACAAACAGGCCTTCCTCGCCTTCCTAGCTGACTGCAGAAGAAACGGGAAGAAACAGGGACAAACACCCCTAGTGTGGCTTTCTTCTCACTGTTAAGGAGTGGAAGCCAGCTGAATTTTAAGGCATTGCCCCTGGCCATGTTTTACAGCTTTGTCTTCCAAGGAAAGAGCCAGAGAGCCCTGCCCTGACCTTTCTCTGCAAGGGCCTGGCTCATGTGCTCCCCAAAGGAATTCTAGACTCTCCCACAAAGGGCTTCCTCTTTTCATCATTTTGACCAAGGGGATGCCTGGTGGGCGTCGCCCATTCAGACCTACACCCAAACCCCCAAACAGTATCTCCTGGGAGTCTGCTTCTGCTCTCCGGGCTTTACAGAATGTCGAGGGTGGCTCTACCCTGCAAACGGCAGGCAGGCGTTTCCCGGAGTGCACGACAACTGAGCTCAGGAGAGCAACTTGCTTTTGTGTAACTCCTCAGACCGAGGGTCAGCAAGCTTTTTCCATAAAGGACCAGATAGTAGATATTTTCAGCTTTGCACGACAAACGCTTTCAGATCTCTGTAGCCACGACTCCACGGTGCGGCTGGTGAATCAGCCAGAGGTCACACTTCAACGGAAAGGAGAATGGGTGAACTGGGAACCCTTTGTCCCAGAGGGGTGCAGGGTGCCCATCTCTTTTCTTTAGACTTTACAAAACACTTTCCGTCTTCCCATCGAATTCGAGCCACAACAAAGCTGTGAGGTAGGCAGGAGAGACCCTTCAGATACTACTCTCAGGAAAGAGGGAGGGATGCGGGCTGGATCTCCAGGCCTACCCCAGATCCCGGCCCTGCAGCCCGCCACGTGGGCAGTGCCTGTCACCCACCAGCGCCGCCCACTTGGGCAGCCAGCCTCCAGGCCCCCAATCACCAAGCCTCTGGCTCTTCGTCTGCAGGAAGTTTCCAAAACCTGGCGTCTTTCGCACATCCCTTCTTGGCCTCAACGTGCCATTTTCATGGAGGTTTCCCGGTGGAATAGAAGCTAGTTCACAAAATGTAAGGTGAGCTCATATTCGTGATTAGGATGATTACCCAGGAGGAGTGATTTCACCCAAGAATTCCATCCACAAAGGGGGTGGGTAGATCTAGTGGGGGAATGAGAGCCCAGGCTTCCAGCCCGGGGCACCTTCCTTTGCAATGATAAATCCCCCTGACAATGGGAGGTAGTGAAATGCACCCTCTACCCCTTAACCCAAACAGAGGCTCAGCCTGGGAAAGGCGCCCTTACTCAAAGCTTCAGAGTTAGAGGAGGCTCCCTCTGGTTTTAACACTTTGTGTTTGCAGGAAGCACGCTTTCCGATAAAAGCTGTGGTCCCTAAAAGCAGGAATAAAGGTAGGCCTCCAGGAGGTGAGACTAGCTTGACTTAACATCGTCAGTCTTTCAAAGAGTCATTAATTTGAAAGAATTAACGTGCTGGAGATACAAGATAACTTGCCATGTCATCAGGCGAGAGAATCAACGGTGGCTTTTTGTAAGGGGGAAGCGGAGAGAGATGGAGGGATCTGAATTTGTTGTTTATTAAGAGACGTGGGTCAAACTTCCAACCTTGCGGCCTAGAGCTTTGCGAGTGTTAGCTGGGGACGCATTGCCATCTCGTGGCTCGCTCGGGATACTGCAGACAGAATGGAAACCCCACCAAACCAGGGAGCAGAACAACCCAGGTTAACGAAGTGAGCATTATTCACCAGACCATTATTCACCATCCGGAGCTAGTTTGGGGTGAAAAGGTTGGAAACCCAGACCATCGTGCAGTTGCTTCTCCTCCTACATTCTGCTGCGGGGCTGAGGTTTCTCTTCAGGGAGAGAAATCTCAAGTAATGAAATGACACAGGGACAGACGGGGCAGAAAAGCCAGAGGCCGGAGCATCTTCAAGGATACTCACCAAATGGATAAACCCAGCTGCTGTTAGCCACGTGCTGATAAATATGGAGAGCAGATTCACCAGCTTGATGGAATTACTGTACAAAGAGACAACAAGCAAAATCCCCAAGTTACAAAAGCAGAGCATGTTGGGGCTGCCTTCCAGAGTGGCGGCAATCTTTGGGGGACACGCAGCCCACCTCTACCCCCCCATGTTTCCTCCTTCCTAAGGGAAGGTCCTGGAAGACAGCATCAGTACGTAGGGCCAGAGCCTAGAGAACAATAACAGCTGGGCCACTAAACGTGACCCCTAAATTAATCCTTCCATTGGGTTTAAATTTTTTTAGTCAGACTTTATTTTGAAATTTTTTGTATCTATAGAAATGTGGAAAGAACAGTATAATAAACACGTGTATGCCCTTCATCTAGATTGATCAGTTAATATTTTGGACATTTTTTTCTTTGTATTTTTTCCCTTTTCTCTTTTTCTATTCTTTTAGTTTGCTTTTTGGCCGAACCATTTATAAGTACATCGTCGTCTTCATGACGCAACCCTTAAATACTTTAGCATTTAACACCTAAGAAGGAAACCGTGCAGCACAATCATGCTACAGTTGTCAAGCCCAAGAAAATTCATGTGAATTCAGGAATGTCATGTAAATTTCTCTAATTTATGTCCCTTTAAATTTCTCTAACTTGCCCTGAAATTGCTTATTGATGTTTTCTTTCTTCTTTTTTTTTTTTTTTTTTTTAACCTTGATGCAGGAACCAGTCAGGATTCAGGCATTACATTTGCTTATTATGTTGCTTTCTTTATTCAGGGGTCAGGAATGTGGACACATCTGTGTTCCAATAAAACTTTATTCACAAAAAACAGGCAATGGGCCAGATTAGCCCTTGGACTATATAGTTTGCAAATCCCTGCTCTGTTCTCCTTTAAACTGCTCCCCTGCCCTTTCTTTTTGTTTTGTTTTCCATGACATTTAGTTTTCTGTGCACTCAGGTCAGCTGTCTTATAGAGTACCCCACATTCTGAATTTGTCTGATTTTCCCCCCATGATTAGAACCTGTTTAAATGCTTCTGTTAAGAATATCTGCCTGGGTTGGCATCACATCAGGAAATCTCAAGTCGATTACCCTAGGTCCAGTCGGTTAAGGTGGGAATGGGAAATCTTGCCACCAAAAGGAGCCCACTCCCCTCTGTAATTAATATGTCATCTACAGTGTGAGAATCTGAGACTATTTGTGTATCCTCTTCCCTCACAACCTCATGTCTAATAATTTCAGCATCCATAAGTGTTCCTTGAATGAATCAGTACATTTTAAAAGCCCAGAGGTTGGAGGAAGAGTCCCTCAGTGGAGGTCAGATCAGCAGTTCTAGAATAGGCATGAGGCCAGAGTCCAGCTTGCCTTTTATATCAATCTTCTTTTCTTTATGTAATTGAGCAGAGGAACTGTGGTCTTGGTTTTCTAGAGTTGGGTTTGACAGTTCCAGGAAAGAAGAGCCAAATATTTAAAAAATTGGTTTGATACTGATCTTTTGAAATATATGGAAAGATCTCTTTCTGGTTCAAAAACAGAAAAACAATGAGAATGTCCACTCTGTCATTCTTGGTCATTTCTTGGGTTGCCAGAATAGGAGTTGCCTATAAAAATTGCCAATATTTACTGAGTCCCTATTATGTGTGAGGCATCGTGTTGACTTCTTGATTTTCTTCAGATTTTTACCGTTCTAACCTTTTGATTCAGGTACTATCATTGTTCCCAGTAACCAAATAAGGAAACTGAGGCTTAGTGTACTTAAGCAGCTTGCCCGAGAAGATGTGATCGGTAAGTGATGGGGTTAATATTCTAACCAGTCCTGTCTGATCCAAGCCCTACTTAACACAATAATTTGGAGAAGCAGTACAGAGCTCTGTTTCTATTGGGTGGGTCCGACATCCCTTCCTCAAGGACAGCTCCATCCTCAGCCTCTAACCTGGGTGGGATGTCACTCACAAGCTCCCACCTCTCCCTCTGTCTGGGTGGCCTGAGCCACACTGGCTGCTGGGGGAACTCTTGTCTCTAAAGGACTATGAAGTCGGACTTATCAGAGACATTGCTTGGGAACTGAGTGGGAGAGAAAGAATCTATCTCCTCCTGAGATTTGGGCGCAAAAAAATATAAGTCTAGAAGGCCATCTGCCCTGGAGAAAGCCTGCCTGAGAATGGAACCTAAAAGAGATGAAGAGAGAAGCAGAATCCTGATGAGAGAATCTGAACCCCTGGATCCAGACATGTCCGATTCTGTCTTAAATCCCAGTCATTACCAAGGCTGGTTCAAAGTACACTCTGTCACTCACAATTAAAGCCATCTGCCTGCAACAGAAGGGGTTGATTATCCAAAATGATCTCGGAGAATCTAGCAATTGATCAGGTCTATAAAGTAAGTCTGGGACGATCTCCATCTAAGAAAAGAGGGCAGATCCTGTACCACCACCAACTGTGCACGACAGGATGATTAGTTCCATGGCTCTGCAAGTTCTGGATGGATGGACCTGGCATTTACAAAGGCAAGTACAGATCTGCTAAATCCTGGCCTTTGTCCCTTTTTTCAGATGCTACCTTGGGTCATGTAACCACCTCTACGTAGTTTCTATAGCTGTACTTGGAGATCACCAGCTGACCAAAATAATGTTTAAAATCTTCTCTTTATGCCCCTCCTGAAAGAAGAAAGATACTATAACTCTTGCCTTTCTGTTTCCTGGAGCAGCCTGTCAGCCCCAGAGGCCTACACACTGGACTTCCAGAGTGTTCTCCCCACACACAACCAGAGACTGTCAGAGCAGAAATAAAACTCATAGATATAAGACATCCACCCAACAAGCCATTAGGAGAAGCAACTCTGGGGATCAGTGAACTTGAACATTGTTGTGGCTGGAACATCACTATGTCCTACTCCCAACTAGTGTCTGAGTGGGAAGCTGAACTACAGCAAAACCTCCAAGCCTCTGCCTTGTGGGTCCTCCAAGGTGTGAGAGTAAGAAGCAGATGAGGAACAGGGAGCTGGGCCCCAAGGGAGAGATCTCAGAAAAGCATGTGCATACAGTCCCTGACTTAACAGTAGTTCAACTTATAATATTTGGACTTTACAATGGTGTGAAAACCACACGCATTCAGAGAAACTAGATTTTGAGTTCTGGATTTTGTTCTTTTCTCGGGCTAGTGATATACAGCATGATTTCTCTTGTGATCCTGGGCAGTGGCAGTGAGCTGCAGCCCCCGGCTGGCCATGTGATCATAAGAACAAACAACCGATATGCAACCACTCTGTTTTTCACCGGCAGTAGAGAATTCAACAAATTACATGAGATATTCAGCACTTTATTATAAAATAGGCTTTGCGTTAGAGGATTTTGGCCAGGTGTAGGCTAATTTAAATGTTCTGAGCACATTTAAGGTGGGGTAGGCTAAGCTATGATGTTCAAGAGGTCAGGTGTATTGAATGCATCTTTGACTTAAAATATTTTCGACTTACAGTGGGTTCCTCCAGCCGTAACTCCATTGTAAGTCGAGGAAAATATGCACTATTCATTTTCTGAAAGGATAATTAAATATCAAGCTGATTCACTTACATACTCCCAGATCCTTGGAATCTGAACAAAGCAGTGCCCCACCAATCACCATGGGAAGCCCTATTGAGATATTAAAACTATTGCAGCCTTTGAGCCTCTTGGTGCTTTGGAAAAACAACCAAAAATGATGATTATTAATTTCCAAATGATTGTCATAATGATATTAATAGTGCTTAAGGGAGTTCTCACTGTGCATAGAACAGTTCATCATTGTTGCTGAAAGAGTCCATATTCAGCACTGAAATCTGATTATTTTTATGGCATTAGCATGATTACAGATCGCTAGTATTAGGAATTTGCTTTCCAAATTAAACTGTACAACCAGGCAATAATCTAAAAGCTCTGTGGAAAAGATGCAAGATTAACTCTTAGTGGACTTTCTCCATACTCTGAAATTTGAACCTCACCAGGTTGCACAGGGCTCCTTGAGAGGAGGGAGTGGGTAGCAGGGGTGAGTTTGCATCCTTGGCACAGCAAAAAAGGGCCACTGGAAATAGGCATAGGTTCACAGCCAAGGTCATGGGTCTGAGCCAAATGTGACCTTCCCCATGGTTAGAATGATTGGAACCATTCAGATTCATGCCCCTTTCCCATGCCTTGAGGGAGGGATGGAGTGGGACTCTATCATGAGAACCTAACTCCTCCAAAGAGAATCATTTTCATGTTGTCCGTTATCACTTCTGGGTCCCCAGCTCATGAGTTCTCAATAGCCACTAGAGAAATTTCCATTACTGGATACAGTGAATTATCCAAGGGCAGGCACGGATGTCTGTCCCTGTAGATCAGAAACCTTTCCGGGACCATGCAAATACTGGAAGAGAGAAAATCTGTCTCTTTCTGAAAGTATAGCTACAAACCTAGAGCTAGTGCAAGCCATCTTTGCTCTCATCGTATTTAACAAGACATGTTTGAGTTCACACTGGAAAATGTCATCCATCGTCTACAAAAAAAGCGGGGGGGGGGGCAAATCTGTCCCTGTTCGGCTTGTCCACTACTTTCCTCCTTTATGGCTGAGGGTATAGCCAGATGTCCGTGCCTTTATTTTGTTTTATTGTTACCTTTGCTGTATAGATGTAAGACAGCTACCCCTGAAAAGTCAACTAGATGATACCACATTGAGATGAATGGTCTGAACTGTGAGGAAAATCAGGTTCTGTCAATCTACCCCTGAAAAACCTCTGCACCCCTCTTGCTCCACCCTGACCTGCACAGCTCAAGGCCATTTCCTGATACCGCCTTCCTGGGTAGCTGCCCTCACTGGTCTCCAGTCTTAGATGCATCAAACCCATCACACAATTGGTGGACTAGCAGATCTTTCTAAAAAGCAAATCTGACCACGTTCCTGTCCTACTTAAACACTTCAGGGAGTACCTCTCGCTCTCTGAGTTAAATCCATGATGGATAAGTTAAATCCATGATGGATAAATCGGGTGTGGCCTCCACCTGGACACTCCCTTGCCATCTCCATAATGAACACTCTTTTTAAAGAACTTAACATGAGAGCCATTTCCGAGGTCATATTTGTAGTAGAGTGTCTTTAGTTCTCCACACGTCCCCCCAAAATGTGTGGGTTAGGTACATGATGGTGCACATGTGTCATGGAATAGTATGCAGGGAATAAAAGTGACAGAGGAGAATATTAGTCATGTTTGTCTCAACTGTAGGTGGGGTTGGGGAAGTTTTACTTTATCCTTTATGCTTTTCTATATTTTTGAAATGTTTACAATGAGCATAGTCTATCTTACTATAATTATTTTGTTTTAGGGAGACAGAGAGCACATCATTTAAATGGCTATTGCCATTTAAAACAAATTATTGGATGACCCACGTTTTCATCATCAACATGTATATAACCAATGAGATGTGGAATGATGGCCTTGAAAACCAAGCTGCTTATTTTGCTCTGAGTGTAGGGTAAGTATCCTCTCAACTGTGAGTCTGCCTGCCAGTTTGTAGGGCCACTGAGGCACCACCAGAAGTTCAGACAATGACATGGAAGGGACCCTGTCCCCTCTAATAGGCCATCTTCCAGACATGGTAGGTCCCCCTGTGGGCTGAGAGCTTAAGGAATGACTCTGGTGCTGTCCCATCTGCAAGATGACTTGTTTCTTTCATCTGTTTTCTGTGTCATCTTGTCCACTCTGGTTTTCTTTGCTGCCCACTTAATTCTCTCTCCCCCCCCCATATGTCTCTGCTCTGCTACTTCCAGCTTTTTGCCAAGCAAAGCAGCCAAAGGACAGAAAATGAAACTGCAATTTCAAATCATTATTTCAAATCACATTTGCAACGTCTCTATCCCTGTGTAATGCCACAGATTGATGGGGGATTGGCCACCCGAGAAAGCCAGACAAAATCCCCCCTAAAGATGATTACAGGGCTGTACCCAGCCTCCTGGAAGGTCTCTGTGAATACAGCAGAGAACAGAGGAGTCACTGGAAAGTTGTTCTGCATCCAAAGCCCTACAAAAACCAAGGCTTCCAATTCTCTGCATCAGAGGATTCAGGATTTGGGCTCAGAGGTGCACAAAGGAAAAGCATCCAGAGAATAGGCTCAGACAGTTGTTCTAAAGCCTCTAGAGTTCTTAGAATTAAGTCAATTCTTCTGTGCCTGGAATCTGGGCCTAGCCTGACCTCCTAATGTCGTCTTTGCTTCCCAGCACAAAGCCCCCAGTATCCAGGAGCACAGGATTACTCAGAGCTCCCCCAAGGAGCATGTTCTCTCACCTGTGTGCATTTGCAACTTCTGTGATTGGAGGTCGGCACCACCCTCCCTGAACCTCACAGGCCCAAGCCAGCCCCACATGGACAACACCTAGTTTTCTAGGAAACTTCCCTAAGACAAACCCTTTTCTTTGAAGAGTCCTGACTAACCTGCACTCACGTCAAGCTTGGTTTCATTCCTCTCCTCCATGCCTCACCTCTCCCACCCAGCAGCACCCCTCCCCCGAAGGTACCTGTGCCCCAGCACCAGCACCATGCACACGGGTTCTGCTGGCTGGCCCCCTTCCTCTTGTGCTCTCTGGTAGCAGGATGCTACCCCAGCACCCACCCAGCTGCTGGTAGGAATGGACACTCAAGTCAGGCTTGTTGAATTAACTCAGTCACCCACATAAGCAAGAGGAACTGGGACAATCCAAGTTGTGGGGTTGTGATGAAAACCGCCTCTACCATAGAAAGCGTTGAACTGAGTGAGAAGTGGGGTGCTGGGCAAATGCTGTTTGGGCCTCAGGACAGCAGACACCCAGCAGCCTGCCATCCCACGACTTCTCCCTAAGGCTACTCTCTCCTGATTTCTAGTCACCTCTTTCCCCAGCTGGCTGCTTCGACTCTCTCCCCTGTGCACTGGGAGAATGAACCACTCTAACTAGACCTAGCAGGTGGACAGTTCACCAGGGATGTGAGTGCTATTTCCTGCACCTAAAGGAAAGGAATCTTCTCCAAGGAATGGGGAATTAGTGGGTCTCTTCATAAAAGCCCAGGAAAAGATTTTTTATCTACTTGGCTTATTGTTCTCCCAAGTCCAAAAAGGATCCATATGGAATGCAAGTAAAATAGAACACAGTTTTCTTTCCACATTATTCTTTGGACTAGTGGCACATTCTTAAAACACTGGTATCAGAGGATTCAAATCCCCCAAATTTATGATGTAAACACAAAACAGAGAATGAGGGGCCCTATACCATGTTCGAGAGTATTGACTCCACGTAACACCTTCCCCCACTAGAAAAAAAACATTTGTCTCTTAAATACACTCCCTCTGCTTGGCCCCTGGGTACACACCAGTTCTACCCTCAAAAATATCTTTGAGTGGAGCAATTATGACATGGGTAAATATGGAGAGTTGCTAGCTTATTGATCATTTTAATTTCAAGAGTAATATGAGTCCATTGCCCAGAAGAGCTATTAAAAAGGTAGAAAGAGTCAAAAGAAAAAAAGAAAAGGGTTACTGTCACTCAGAAGAAAACAAAGAATGATAATATTCACTCTATATTAATAATATTACATACTATTAAATGGAACATTCATAAATGCCGACCCCAGGCTAATGAAAGTGCAGGGCAGTGAGACACACTAGACGGGACTCCTGCTGAGTAGAGAGATGCTCATTGGGTTTTTAACTTGGTTAACAGAAAGCAAAGTTATCCCACATGCACACAAATGAGTAGTTAGTGAGGAGAAAGCAAGATGGAATTAAAACAAACCAAAATAAAAGAAATAAATAAAACGTAAAACACGAACCCCAAAGAGGGAGGCCAATAGCCTGTCACATTTGTTAGGTGTGACAGGTTCGGGAAGCTGAGTCCCAGCTCAAACAATGTGGAACCCAAGGCCCCCCAAATGCAGGTGTATTAATTATAAATCACAAAATCCAGAAGTGTCCTGTTTTTAATCATTTATCAAACACGTCAACCTCAGAGGAAATGGAACATTAGCAGTGAGCTTCTTAAAGTGTAATTTCCTATAAGAGAAATTTATGGCCTGTACTTATTCTCCATTAGAGGACGTCTAACCTCTTTTATTAGTTTATTCATCAAGGCAGCCTGGTTTCAGGCCAGCTCTGCAAACCCGCAGGTCATCAGGAAAGGGATCTCAGGGGGATTTTTCCTCCTGGTCCAGTAGTGTTTTCCAGATCATAACACAGTTAACAGAAGTAGTCATGGTGTGTTCAGCAGGAGGTTTTTAGGTATTCCCCAAAAGGCAATTCACAGAGCAAGCCCCAGGGACTACACTGGCTATAAAGTGAACATCTAAAATGTACTTTGAAATGAAATGATTTTCTGTTTGCCATATGAGGTCTGTGATTGCCTCTCAAAGAGCACCGCTTCCATTGCTTTTACGTTCAGGTTCAATTTCTTATTTAGTGATGTAATAAAGGGGCGATTTAGAACCTGGGAGCAAGGATTTCCCAATCAATGAGCTGTTCGATCCCTCATACACCAGGCACCATCTCTCCAGGATGCTGCAGCTGATTTCCAAGCAACCCACACAGCACCCCAAAACTGTCTACTTTTCCACATGCGCAGCTCTTTCTCTGCTTAGCAAAGTGTCCCAGTCCTACAGAAGAGAGCTACCCAAGCCCTACTTTGGGCTTTCTCCAGATCTCGGTGTTAGATCCCTCTTTCTGAGACTAACAGAACTCTCACTCTACAGTGATGAAAACAAAGACACAAAGACATCTGATATTTACAACTTGGCATTGGGGGGGGGGTGTGGAACTAGTTAAAAATGTGAATAAGAACATCTTACCTTGTTTTAAGGATATTCAGAAACTGCAAAATTTCTGAAAACTGTATCAGTCTGAGAGCTCTTAAAAATCTCAAACCTGGAAAGAGAAATGAAATAGAGACACATTATTCTCACTGCGTGGTTTTAATGTTCACACTCTGCCATTTGATCTACAGCTGCCAGGGTTGAAGGGATATGAAGTTCTTGCAGAAGATTAAACCATCCAGTACCTTTGACATAGTCCTTCATTCTGATTCTTGACTGGTTCAATCTCCACTGGTAAACTTTCTCATTAAAGGAGACCTGTTTTGAGCCACTACAGAGGAAGGTCTGGTGGGGAAAGCCTTTGCCCATTCCAGATTTAAAGCTCTGTTTCTAAGTTACCTACTTTTTTGAGAGGATTTTTGTCTCTGGAAAATACTGGGAATATGGCAGGGTAACCTTTATGCTAAGAGCAGATTAGGAACAAATCGGATAACCTGATGTCTTATGAGTTTTTTTTTTTTTCAACTTTATCTTCAGCTGATAAAATGAAGAGTATAGTCCACGGTGTTATCTGTTTTCTAGAAAACTTCTATATTTTTCTCCCAACCAAAAAAAAAAAAAAATTCAGATCAGTAAGATCTCACACCCCATAACCTCAGAAGCCAAAGCATATATATTTCCACTTTTACTAAGTGTCAAGATAAATGTTTGTCCTTTCTAAATTGGCAACCTCTGCTGAATAGAAACCAAAAGCCAGCATTTCTAGACAGCAGAAGAGAGATGGGCACCAGGAAGGAAGATACAATCAAGGACTAGAGAAAACACAAATTACTGTTTTGTTTTAATAGCCCAGGGTAAAATATATTTCTGTTGAGATCAAGTTTATGAGCCAAAAAACATTCTGAGTCAATCATGGGGCTTTCATGCTTGGCCATCGTGTAAGAGAATTACTTACAAAATACTGATCACAGCTTTGAGATATTTTCAATATTACACCCTTTGCTAAGGGGATTTTCTCTTACAGATTTTCTGGAAGCATTTTGTCAATGCCCTCTCCTCCTCCTGCTGTGCCACTTAGTGGAATACTACGCACAGAGCGAGCTATGTTGTTGATAGGCCGCTCTTAGCCAGTGGGTAAGACTCTACTCAGGCCCCTGTACGTGAGGTAGAAGTGATGGGGAAAAGGTGGCGGAGTCACTGCAATGGATCAAGGAAAGGAGATAGATGGGTAGCTTTCACTGTACAGCTCCACATTGGGCCTGGCTTGATTTCGCCTTGTTCAAGCATTAAGGGGGACAATGAGGGACTAACACAAAGCCCAAGAGGGGAACACAAATCCCACTGCACAAGAAGGAGAAAGGGATAATAGCTTGAAAGGGAAATTTCTTATCTAAAAGGGATTTACCTTCATGAACAGAAGATTTTCTCAGAAGACGTTGGCCTTCTATGCCAAATGATATTTATATTACTTTTATTAAACCAGAAAGTACAGAGATGAGAAGGGATACTGATGAACTGAAGGCCCAGGAGCCAAAACACAGTCCTAACAGAACTGATGAAAGGTTCACTTAACGCAGCCAAATGCCACAGAGAACAAAACTGAGGAGTAATCCCAGAAGCCAGAGAACGTAAAGAAAAGGGAGAAAAAAAAGTGAAATCTAAAAAAATGGAAATGGAGGGGAGATCACAGAAATCCAACCTATGAATAAAACATGTTCCAAGGGAAGTACAAACAATCTGTAGGTCATAAGTAATGGCCGGGACAAAATCGAAAAGAACTTTCTAGAAAGGAAAAAAGGATTCAAGATTAAGTAGCAAAACGAACGACGAGCTCTTAGAAACTCATGCCAAGAAGTATCTGCCTTTGTTTTTCTTCAAATATTAAGTATTAATATAAATTAAAAAACAAAGTGTCAGGCTGGGGAGAGGGTCACCATGAACACCACGAAGACCCCATGATGTGACAGTATGTGTGGATGACAATGGGCAACACTCAGAAATCTTAGACGAGGAGAATCTGGCCCACAACTTTGATGCCCATCAAGCACTTGTGCAACAACAGAGACAACAAAAAAGGTCTTCAAAAACCCAGGATCCTGGGAAATATATTGTGTATGCAAAATATTTTCAAAGTTCTCAAACTGTATTAAATCAAAATGAGGGGCACCTGAGTGGCTCAGTCAGTTAAGCATGTGCCTTTGGTTCAGGTCATGATCCTGGGGTCCTGGGATCGAGCCCCATGTCATCATCATAGGTTTCCCTCTCAGCTTCTCCCTCTCCCTCTGCCTGCCACTCCCCCTCCTTGTGCTCTTTCTCTCTCAGTATCAAATAAATAAGTAAAAATCTTTAAAAAAAAATCAGAATGAGTAGCAGGGGCTGGGAGGTATATTTTTAATGAACTCTATTGTTAGTCCTAAGCATCCAGTCCACCCTGGATGGCTGGTCTCAGCCCAGGACCATCACCACACACTGCTGGGAGATAAAAGTAACACATTGAGAAACTCGAAGAAGAAGACTGGCGACACTGAAAGGAGTCAGGATACATAAGGATGCTTTAGTGATGTATTAGCCACTGTTTTAGCCTGAAGATCCTGGGAATCCAATCCAATGTGTGTGTATGTGTGTATATATATATATATATATATATATATATATATATATATATATATATATATTTGCATACATATATGTAGTTTTTCACTTGTGGAAACAAAGCTGGAACACAAATGACCCAAACTTTGAGCTGGATTTCTTTCTTTTTTCTTTCTTTCTTTTTACTGTAGGTGATATTGTGTACATGTTACTTGTCTGTAGCTTCCCATATTTTAAAGTGACTCAGAAAAATAGAAAAAAAGCTTCTCTTTTAATGGGTCTGTTTGAAAATAAGGGTGGGAAACACAGTGAATGCAGGCACCATAGGTCCTGTACTTTTGCTGGAGGTAAACTGTAGACCTAGCTCTGAGCACTTAGTCAACAAAAAAGCAGGGAGACATTAGAAGATTAATAACGTACAGGAGAGAAAAGCTGGTTCTTAGGAAAACAGTTTTTCCAGGATGGAGACAAGAAAGAGCTATGTCTCCCCAGCAAAAGCGACCCTAGCTGAGGCAGGAATGACTTTCCGCGACAGTGACCTTTATTTGACTGCCTTGTGCGTGTCATTTTCATGGCACTGTCTTTCACTAATGCAAGTGGCTAAACAGGTTTGTGTGGGTTAAAAAGAAAAAAAAAAAGCAGTCTACATTTTATCCTTAGATCAAGCCAAATTGACTAGAGAAATGGTCATCTGAACCATGTGCCCTGCAGCTCCCTAACTGCTTCCTGCCTGGACCCTGCTGGCCTATTCTCAGTACAGCAGCCAGTTTTTTAACCTTTCAAAAGGTAAAATAGATCACGCCTCTCCTCTGCTCAAAATCCTCCAACGTCCCCATTTCACACAGAGTAAAAGTCAAAGTATTCCAAAGACCTAAAGCAACACCACCCCATTTCCTTTTGGATCTGATGGCCTCCTCCTGCTCCTGATATTATTCTTCTTCCTTCCTGGCTGCCTCCCTCCGTGGTCCATCTCTGCTGGGACAGGCATGCTCCTGCCTCGGGATCTTGCACCTGCTCTCGGCCCAGAGTGCTCTTCCTCACATGGCCACGGGATGTGCTCCCATACCTCCTGCAGGTGTGTCCTGAATGCAGCCACCTCAGTGAGACCTGCCCTGGCTTCTCCACCCAAACTTCAAGCTCTCTTCTTCTCCGCCTCCCAAACTCCTGCTCCTTGTACCCACTTTACTTTTCCCCACAGCATGAGAAAGCACTCAGGTCTTACTTACTCAAGTGATTTACTTTCTGACTCCTAATCTATACCATCAGCTCAAGGAGGGGAGGAACTAGTGTCTTCGTTGCTCATGGCTTTATTTCATATACCTTAATTAATGCCCAGCATAAGGTGAGTGCTCTATAAATACCCACTTGAACTGAATCAATGAATCATCCTTTTGAAAAAGAATGAGCAGATAGTTAAAGGGTACATGTTCTGCATTCAGAACTCTGAGACCATCCAGGGCTTCTTAAAGAGAAAAGCCATGAGCACTGAGGGCTCACCTAAGAGGTGAGAACTGACACCCACAGGAAATCTAAAGCATCCTAACTAGGGAAGAGCCTTAACCAATGGTCCCTCTTCCAGAGAAGTCCTAAAGAAGAACAGATGGAAACTCAAACTACATAAAGGAGACCAGGGAAAGGGAGAGGTGGGATGGGCAATGTCTAACTGAAAAATCATTCATCTTCTTTGCTTCATAATACTGTATTCTTATCATTTATTCCCTATAACTTAAAATCTCTGAAATAAAATGATATTCTAGGAAAATTTAAAATGACTATAACAAAGTTTTAAAGAAGAAAATGTGTGTGTACCAAAACCATGAATTATGCCCCCACAAAGATCCAGGTGAGTTCAGGTGAGTTCCTTTAAATATTAAGAAATAATAAACCTCTCTATTATATAGTCAACTAATTAAAATGGACTGTCCCCTCATATACCATACTCTGCGTTGGTTTAGAAAGCTGGAATTATATTGGGGGAACAAAGATAAGCTCACACACCAACTATAAGAATCCTAAATAAAATACATCTAAATGATATTTGAGACTACACTGAATGAATAATAACACACATGATCTATAGTGGATGTTGTGAGGCACAGCCAGGTCCCTTTTTCAGAGATCTTTATGCTTCCCTGACTCCTGAAGAGGTCTCACCTAAGGTTATGCCCTGGCCAGGGATGGTCCCCAATGACCAGTACATGTGGTAACAAAGACTTGCTGCCCTGCCTCCATCTGGGAACAATCCTAAAGAGCCATCCAGCTGTAGAGCTCTACAAGACATTGGCTAAGCCTCTGTTGGAACTGTACCACAGCTCTCCACCTAGTCTTAGTAACTTCATCTCTCAGGTCATACCTTGAAGACACAAAGGTTCAAAATCTTTGGGATGCAGCAAAAGCAGCTCTAAGAAGGAAGTGTATAGCCATACAGGCATATCTCAAGAAACAAGAAATATCTCTAATAAACAATCTAACCTTACACCTAAAGGAACTAGAAGAAGAAAAACAAAAAAGCCCAAAATT